CTGGTGTGGTTTGCTCCTTCTTTCCTATCAAACATCTATCGTCCCTATCTCCCCTTCTTCTGTTTATCTTTGTTACTCTCTTCTAACACATCTAATCTTCTGGCGCCCATATGACCTTATGGAGTTGCGAGCGCCGAAAAACCTCTACTAAAACTAAATTGAAAAATCTACAAATGTGATGTGTCTATTTTAGGCTGAGTCTCCATTCGTGGATATACGAGACGGAGTTCGTTTTTTCAGCAAGCCTCACATAAAATAGCCTACATGTACAATGTATGTCATACCAGTATGAAACCAAAGGAACTCCTGCTGCACTTTTCGAATCATCAAACTACACATAATATCAGAAACATGAAATTTCATATTCATTTCATTTTATGCACATTATTGCCTGGTTTGTTTTGTTTTTCTGTTTTTTGTTTGTTTGTTTGTTATTTTGGGGGTTGTTGTTTGTTTGTTTTTTTGTCTTTTTGTTGTTGTTGTTGTTGTTGTTGTTGTTGTTGTTGTTGTTGTTGTTTTTTTTACATTTCATGTAAAGAAAACAGAACTAACAAAAGCTGTATTAATTTGTTTAAAGTCATCATGCCTCTTTTTTTAAGCACCACAAAAAAGCGTAACCTTCCCAGTATGTCGATATAATTATATTCATTAACAACTTGTACGTCCTGACCCAAAAATGGACCACACCTGTATGTTGTAGTAAAAATACATGTACGTCCCGACCCATTTTGGGGGTCATACTTGTTTTAGAGGGGTAAAAAGTAGTTTTAGTAGAAGTTTTACGGCGCTCGCAATTGCATAAGGTCATATGAGCGCCAGAAGATTAGAGGTGTTTCAAGAGAGTAACAAACATAAAAGAGAAAAAGGAGAGATGAGAACGATAGATTTTTTTATAGGAAAGAAGAAGCAAACCACACCAGAGCAACCGCCAACCACCCACATCCTCGAGTTTTTCAATGTGACTCACAATATGATACGTACTTTTCTGAGGAGGACTAATTGTTGTCAATAAATGCGTTTCAGGCATATCTTGGACTGATATAAAACTGATAATGTATAAGACTGATATAATTATATGTATCGAGAGTCAAATCTACAAACAAAACATATCAACAAACAGGCAGTCGTGGGTGGTTGGCGGGTGCTCTGGTGTGGTTTGCTTCTTCTTTCCTATCAAGCATCTATCGTCTTTATCTCCCCTCCTTCTTTTTTTTGTGTTTGTTACTGTCTTGTAACACCTCTAATCTTTGGCACTTATATGACCTTATGGAGTTGCAAGTGCCGTAAAATACTTACTAAAATCAAAACCAAACAGCCAGATACATGGACAGACATGGGCTGTTTTGTGCTGTTCTAGATCTAGTACTCTGCTTGAGAGCAGTCAGTGGTGAAGTTGTTGATGGAAATATTTTTCTCTCTTTATTACTATTGCTATTACTGCTACTGTTACTGTTACTGACACTATTACTTTTACTATTACCATTATTAATACTAATACTATTACTATTACTATTACTATTACTATTACTATTACTATTACTATTTCTATTACTATTTCTATTACTATTACTACTACATTTACTAGTGCTGCCACTATTAATATGATTATCACTATCAGTATTACTACTATTACTATTATCATTACTATTACTATTACCATTACTATGACTATTACCATTACTATTACTATACTATTACTATCACTATCTTTATCACTATAATT